TACAATTATCATTATCCCAACATGAAAAGTTTAGTAATACATACTCAAACCTTCAGATAAACATACCACTGAATGATGTTGAAAACATAATTTTAAATATATATATATATATATATATATATATATATATATATATATATATATGTATATATATATATCATCTTACCGTTCTTTACATGGTATTTGTAATTAAGAGTTGATGATACAGGGCTGGGGGTATAGCTCAGTTCTAGAGTGCTTGCCTAGCATGTGCAGAATCAATCCTCAGTACAGCACAGGAAAAAAAAAAAAGATGTTCAGGAATACAGTCTGGCATGGAGATTTCCGCATGTTTTATAACATATCAAGAGTAGGTACCTCAGATTTTTATGTTGTACTCTTGTGATTAAAATCCTGAACAATACACCAAATCCACTAAATTATAAAAGAGAAATATAAGGGTTTGTCTGTTTGAATACTAGCCAAAATTAAAGGAAACTGACATATTATTAGTAGAAACAGCTCTGTTTCAGAAATTAAGTTTATTTTAGAAATTAATTTCAAGCCTGTTTGAAAACAATTGTAATTCTAATAAGAATTACAATTCAAACCATTATGGATGATAAATATGTAAAAGCATTTGGTCTGGAAATTAAATTGGAACAGAGCAAAGAAACTCATGTTATGAAATCCACTCTGGTGGAGTGAAATGTCTGTTTTGCAGAGAGGATTTTGGTCCAAACTTCTAATCATTGAAAACACATTCATATTCTGTAACCACCATGATAATCATATAAACTTGGCATTTATTCCTCAACCTTCTTTCTTCTTAAAAAAAAAAAAAAAGTCTTTCAAATCCTTATTTTTTAAATTAAAAATTTTTGAGCATCCAGCTCCCAAGGGATGAACATGTGCAAGCAAACCCATTTGCACATTCTTAATCCTCTTTGATCCAGACTACATGGAATCTAATAGGAAGCCCTAAATTCAAGGCCAGCATCTTCCTTCTTGGTATAACTTACCTGTGTGTTTAAATCTGAATTGCACTTCTTCTAACTGCAGTAACTGAAACAAGTCCACTCTTGTTCCCAAGGCCCACACTAAACCTATATGTGTGCAAGGGGGCACCAACCAAGTAGCAACCTTCAAACAGTAGGAAAGGTAAACTTTTGAAAGCATCTAAAGTCATGTGTGAGGAGAAAGCTAGTACTTAGTTTCCTCTCACCTTATGTCTTAAATAATTATATTCATTTGCTAGGACTACCATATCAAAGTACCACAGACTGAATGAGTTAAATGACAGAAATTTATTGTTTCACCATCCTGGAGTCTAAAATCAAAGCATCCATCCACAAAGTTGGTTCCTTCTGAGGGCCGTGAGGAAGAATCTGTCCCATGCTTCTCCCCTAGTTTGGTAGTTTGCTGGCAATCTTTATGGTCTGTTGGCTTGAAGGAGCTTCACCACAGTATCTGCCTACATTGTCACATGAGACTCTTCCTATGTGCTTATATGTCTCCAAATCGCCACATTTTATACAGATTATCAGTCATTTTGCATTAGAATGACCCTAATCTAACTTGATTATCTATATTAAAACCCTATCTCCAGATGAAATCATATTTTAAAGTACTAGGGGTTAAAATTTTAATGTATGAATTTAGAGAGTGACACAATCCACATTAATTTATATTCAAATCCATAGCAGTAATATTTGAATATAAATTAAAAGGACCCGAGAAATTAGTTGATGACAATGTCCTTACTGTTTAACATGAATTATAATCACTAGTCATACGACAGGTCAGAACCTACCCTCCTACTGAGAACTTCAGTTCCCCTCAGTCAACAGACATCCCCAAATTCTCTATTGGTCAGATGCCCATATCACTGTAATGCCTAGTCTGCATTGGCACATACATACCTAAGAAAATGCCACCTGCCCATTTTGCAAATGGGAAAATTAGACCCAGGATGACCAAGTAGGCTATCTGATCCAGTTAAGCAAGTAGCTTATGTACCAAAAAGAGAGTCTAAAAAAGCTTCTGCTTCAAAACCCAGCTCATTTCCTCCCTTACATACTTACGTATTTCCTTGTATTTTATTTTCCTAAGGGCTTTACAGAAATTTCTATCATTTGCAATCTGTTATTCTTAGTTATATGAATCTATTTTATTTTAGCATTTTTCTTTCCTTGACTTAAAAAAAAGAAAATAAAGAACCAGCTTTACTAAAAACATGCTGCAGCTCTCCTACACGTCAGTAAGCACAGAAGCTAAAATTGCCTTCCTTCACTGCACATAGTGTCATCCATCTAATGGTGTAATCTAGGGGAATAACCTCTGGTTTGACGATGCAAGTGCTCATCTTTAGGACTGGATGACTTAGATCTAATGTGAACACGAGTCCTGGGATTTTAAGATTGGGGGTATCCTTAGATATTACCCAGACCAACTCTCTCTTAAACCAAATGGTGGTAAAAACTGAAGCTCAGAAAGGTCAAGGGTCTTTCCTGGCATCAAAGAGAAAGATTGTAATAAGTCAAGCCAAAAACAATTCTATGCTCCTGCTGAGTCCTCATGCAGGCACCTTTTTATCTCTGCCTATTTCAAGTATGTTATTCACCCCTTGCCTTAATAGTCTCAAAGCTAAGCAATAGTAATAGAATGGTGGGGTATGAAGATCATGTCTACTTCATTTATAGGGGAGCCTCCTACATGCTGTATACCAAGTATCACTCTGATTGTGAGAAAACACATGGGTTTCTGAATCGCTTCAAATCTATTTTTAGAGAGTAGGATTATTGATGATCAATCATATTCGAGGTTCTGGGACTAGTGGACAACATGGCTCTAGTTCCTGCCTTTGAAGTTTAAATCCAGGTGATAAGACAAATATGTAAATCATCATAAGCAATTAAGTAAAAAACAATTACAATATGCAGAGATGAATGAGTTGCTTTGGGAACACATTGCTGAGACACCCACTTTGCAGAGGATTATAAAGGAGAACTTCCCTGTAGCACTAGTGTTTAATCTGAACTCCAGTGGGTATGTAACAGTGTGCTGACAGACATCTTCCATCAGAGGACGTGGCATAAGGAGGATCAAAGGTACTCAGCTGAGAGATGTACCATTTGGCTAAAGCAGAGGGAGCGAGGTTACATAGTTTCATAGGATACACGAAACTAGTTCACCAGATCTGGACAGGCCATGTTAAGGGTTTAGGATTCCACTTACTGTATTTAAGCAAAGGAAATATGTGATCAGAGTTTTATTTTTAAGTGATCATCTCGGTATCATAATGAGATGGATTGAAAGGACAGCATGGAGAGAGACCAGGTGGGAGAAGACCATGTAGGCCAGGTGTGACTGTGCACGCAGCGTGTGCTCAAGATCCCCTGACTTAATTCAGTAGTACTCTTTATTCCAGTGACACATTTTGTCTTTTTTTAATGAAAGGAAACTCAGTCAAGACTACTCTTAACGAAAATAATGCAAAAAAAAAAAAGAGAGAGAGAGAGAGAGCAACCACTTGATGGATAATTAAAAATAATTATTTTTCTGTCTCATTGAAGAAAGCTTTTTGTTGTTGTTGCATTAGGATTGTAATTTCAAATTGTATTCAGGCTAATTGCAAACATCTAGTTGTAAAGAGTTTTGATTTAAATAATACATTATCTGTGCAAATGAGTGAGTCATCAACTCAACTAATCCAAGTAACGGCACAGTGTCATCCATTGTGTTTGTGTTCTTATGCTCTGTGTTAATTTTTTCACTTATTAATTTGGTGAAAATTGGATAGTGTAAATGTATGGAATACATCAAATAATGTATTGATTTCCTGAGTGGATCCAAAAACATTCTGCCAAATTATTTTGATGATTCCTGTAATGATGAGGTATCATAAATGACCATGTGCTTTCAGAGAAATTTACCTGGTGTCATTTTTTAAAGGCTTTCAAAAAGGATCCTTTTCACATAAATAAGTTATCTTGTTTTCTTAAGGAGCCCAACAGGCAGTTTCTATAACCCAGTGTGATATAAGATCTAAACATAACATATGGATGAGTGCTACCATTTATTATTCTCTTTTTGACAATTTGAATTATCTTTTGGATATTACTCTGAAAGATAAATCAAACTGCTTAAAAGTGGAGCTCAAAATTGGAAAATTGAAGTTCTAAGTGCTTTCATCTTGAGTAGTAAGTGCTCTAAGCTTTGAGTTAACTTTATGACAATGGACTCTTTAGTGAGAGATGTTAAACTAATACAATATGCAGGTCTTGGGAGTCGAAGTTGAGTATGAATTTTTATATCTACCCAGTCAGATGAGAGCCCAATTCAGCATACATATAAACTTCTACACTATAGTTCTTTCAGACAAACACTATAATACATTCAACCAACTACCATTGAATAATTATGAAAATTTTTTGGAGAAAAAACAATAGGTTTTTTTCTTTCAACGACTATTGTTTTGGATGTCATTATTTTACCTCATTCCTTGGGTGTAGCATTTGTAAAGAAAATGCATTTTTCTCATTTTCCTTTTGACTTAAAGGCTCTTGCCAAAATAATGTAGAATATTCATTGTTTTCGTTCATCTTGGCCCATGGCCTTACAAGTGCTAGAGTTTCTGGTTTTGAAGGGGGTGGATTTGTTTGTTTTCTCTTATTTTTGATAAAGGCAGCACAGAAAGACTTACCATAAATTAACTTTTCCCCAGCCACTTCTTTTTGAAATCCCTGGTTTCACTGACTGTTAAAAACAGTGTGGTGATGATAATCCCATCACCACTCCACTCCATGAGACTGAATGATAAGGAAAAGCCACATATCCGCTGCATGTTCTCAAGGCAGGGAACCCTTAAATGGAAACAATCTGCCCTAACCATTCCTGTCTGCCAGTTCTGTTTTCAACATGGACCTCTGTGTGTCCTTTAAGCATCCCACCATCTTCATAAGCATACAAAACCCAGGGGAACAACAACAAATCTTATTGTACCTGTTTATTTCTTCTAGATTGGACGAATTGAAGATTTTCTATACCAGTTAGAGGACAGTTTCTTAAAAACTAAAAAGATGAGAACTGCTCGAAGGCAAAAAACAAAAATGAAACGGCTTCAAACGGTGCAGCAAAGCTAGTCACTAAGGAGCAGGCCTCACTACCAAACGTCCCAGGGAAAGAGGCCAGGGCGTCTACCCAGCCCGACTGTCCCCAAGGGCATGAGGTGCTCCATCCCTTGGCTCATGGCAAAGACATTCTATATTCATTAACCTCATCTGGCATCAATAAATGTTCTTGGCAAGTTTGGCTTGACTCTTGTTCATATTTGTCTTGTTTAGTTAAATAGATTATAAAATAAACATTGCTGTCTCTTTTACCTACCTTTTCTTTCAAAAGTGACTAAGGTATATCAGGTCTACCCAAGAATGCCTATAATTTGCATCTATATTCATGTGTACTCACTAAAAATTATTCACGTATGGATATATGAACAGATGACATAAATGCAAATTTAAAATTACAAAACTGATAATCTACTTTGATCCTTATGGAGATGGTCATAGGATGTTTGGTATATCATCATTAAGGTGTCTCATTCCATTCTTTCTTCTGGGTCTTTTATATTGTTATTTTCCCTGTGCTTTAAGTGACGCAACACAAATTCACATATTTGTTGACAAGGTTGTGAATCAAGTGCCACCACTCAAGACTTCAACTAATCAGCAAGGGGAATGAGACTAGAGAATGAGACTAGGATGAAATCAGACACAGAGCAAAATAAACAGACACAATTTTTTAAATAGTGAGAAAATAAATAGGCTCTCATAGTACACTGATAATAAACAAGAATAAAAAGGAACAAAATAGTGATGAATCTTTCTTTATACAATGATATTATTAAAGAACCCAATCAGTTCTACTGTCATGTATGACTAAAAAATAAATAAATAAATAAATAAACAAATAAATAAATAAAAATAAATTTCAAAGGAAAAAAAAAGAACCCAAACAGTAACTTGGGTCTTAATGTATGTTAGATTTATGTAGTCATGGTAATGCAAAATATAAATATGTTTACAAATTTAGAAACAATATAATCAGGACCTTCATTCCCCTGGGGACACTTGCTTAACCCTAACTTTTAACAAATACTTGCCTCTTTCTACCCCACCATATAAGGAAAACCCACATCCAAGGCCAGCACATTGGCTGGAGTTACGTCAATAACAAATTCAATTAAAAACAGTAAATTTTACAAGCTCCCTTTGTTTTAAACTCATACTAGAATAGCATCTCAGTCCTTTCTTATAATTACTGAAAAACTATTTTCTTTTTAAGAACACTGGAGTTTAGCCAAATGTCGGAGTCTCGGATAATGGGTCAGCCTGCCATCTGATCCTTGCTGCTATCGCTCTCTCTGACCTTGTCCAGGAATCTCCCATTATTAAAAAGGTAAACAAATAAAAATTTGGTGACAAGAAATATGCTATTTCTCCATCATTTTCTTGGGCATGAAGATAATGGATTTCATTCTGTAACATTTGAAAGACGTTAAAAGCAAGCCCAAAGAATGACATCTTGGCCAAGCAGAAGCCATATACACTTGACAATTCAACCAGATTTCAATATTAATTGTGCAGTAATGCTTTGATAATCTCAGTTTCCTTTCCCTCTGCAATTTGCTGAGTCCCTGTATATTTTTACTAATGCCTCTGCATGGAGAGCAGAGCTATGCTGATGTCTAGTGCTGAAAGCAACTTGTCTTTCAAAATATCTAAACAGGGGCTGGGTCTGTAGCTCAGTGGTAGAGCACTTGCCTCATACATGTGAGGCCCTGGGTTCAATCCACAGCACCACATAAAAAAATAAAATATTGTGCCCATCTGCAACTAAAAAATATTTTTAAAAAAATATTTAAATGGATTTTTCCCAAACTGCCTACCTTAGAATGATTAATTATTTCCATAAAATGTGTTTGGGAGATTACCACTGGGTTTTCTTCTGGACAAAACAGAGTTCAAAGTCCCACCTCCAAAGGAGAAATCCCAAAGGAGGCTTCCCACCACCACATAAAATCCATACACATTCTGGTACATATCTGCCTTAATTCCAGGTACTTGATCATTTTTGGTCATATTTCAAGGCATTTTGTTGTGTTTATCAACTTTCCATTTTCAAATTTTTTAAACTATGGAATAGTGGCAAGGATAGTACAATGTCACTGACATACTCTTCAACACAGTTTTCCCTTATTATTAACACATTGTCATATTTGCTTTCTCTCTGTCCCTCTGTATTCCTTCCCTTCCCTTCCCTTCCCCCCTACTCCCTCAAGAAAAATCCAGTCAGGCATGAACCATCATGCCCATTATCCCAGCAATCAGTGAGGCTGAGGCAGGAGGATTGCAAGTTCAAAGCCAGCCTCAGCAATTTAGGTAGGCCCTAAGCAATTTATTGAGACCCTGTCTCAAAATTTAAAAAAAAGAGAGAGAGAGAGAGGACTGGGGATGTGGTTAAGCACCCGTGGGTCCAATCTCCAGTGCAAAAGAAAACCCATTGTTAGCTCATAATAAATACATTATGCTAATCCCCCATTTGTAGGTCCCCCATTTGTTCTCTGTATCAAATAAGAAGTCACTTAGAAACTGTTTGGGGGAAAGCTTGGGACAGCATACACCACCACATTGTCCATCTCCTCATTGCTGGCCTTTATGTAGCACAGCTTTGATGACCACAGAAGCATTCAGCAGGGTCAGGACCTTTGCAGAAGGAAAGGCAAGTAGCAAAGACTGCTTTTTTTTATTTGACTCAGAGCTGATAGTTCATACTTTTATATATCTGTTATATATCTTCAAGAGTGGCAAATCTGTGATACAGTTTTTGAAAATAGCCAAAAGATACCCAGAACCCAGCTTGATGTACAGAACCGATGGTTACTGTATGATGGCACTGTGTGGGCAGGATTATGGGGATGCATGAAGTAGGGACACACAAACGCAAGCATCCCAACGAGATGACTGTGAAGGGAACCACATATGTCTTCACCTCTGAAGGCTGGTGTGTTTGTTTTTTAGAATAATCCATCTTGCCAAGCACTCCTACATGTTTCTAATGGAACAGAATTGTATAAATTTAAAACCTATACAGGTAGCAATTTGTCAGCATGTATCCAGAATCTTAAAGATGTTTACACCTTTTGCCTCAATAATTCCACTTCTAGGAAACTATACTAAAGAAATAATCAAATATGTGTTAAAAGGTAAAAGCTCAAGAGTATTTGCCACAAAGTTATTTCAAAAGGAAAGATAACATGAACCCAACCAAAATTTCCCAGCATAGGTAATAGACTAAATGATTTATGAAAGTCTATTCCATGCTTAATCTAATAATATATAAAAATTTTATAATCTTAAGAGAAAAAAGAAGTAAAACTATATATACCATGATTATAACTAGATTATAAAATATATGTATATAAAAGACTGGAACAAATTACAATAAGTTGTCAAGAATGGTTATCTTTTGTGCGAGCACTTACAGGTGATTTTTTAAAATCTTATTAATATTATACAATGTGTTCCTTGATAAAAAAAATAATCTTTCAAAAATATTATTTAATATCACTCCCAAATAGATTCAGATCAGCTTTTCATTCCCTATTTGAAAGAAAAACTATACATCCTAATTCTTGCATCACAAATAATGGCTATTGCATAGACAGAGGTTGAAGAGAGTATTTTCTTTACAGAATTATTTAAGCACAAACACCATTACAACACCTCCACCAGAATCCCTGGTGCAAGCAGTCCTGAGGGCCACTGAATTAACCATTAAACGGAGCGCCAATTATGGTGTTTCATCTGTGTTTACAAAAAAAAAAAAAACAGTGCAGTATGTGGGTTGTCCCTTATCACTGTTGCTTGTGTTCCTCTTAACTTTCCCTATGATTGTTTTGTTTAGTTCCTTCCCTGTACTCACAAGCCATCATCTCATGAAATATGAGATGATCACAGACCAACATCCCTTAAATCAAAATGTATTGAAAGTTGAGAGACCCCTGGCAGAGCACAGCTTTGATTTACAGAGGTTTGATTCATGGAGATGGTATGATGGAGTCTAAGTTCAATCAGATATTTCACAAGTTGCCTGATCCACTCAGCAGTTCCCGGGGCTCTTGGACATGGATACAAAAGACTATTGTGCAGCCTTGACAAGCAGCAGATTGTCAAGACAGAGTGTAATGACACCTGGAGGCAGGCCCATATTTTTGACAAGCCATCAGAGGGAAGGAAAATCAGAAAACTGACCCACAGAGCATCCTAAAGTTATAAATATAAGCATATTCTGCTTGTTCCTTAATGAGTGGAATCCAGAGACACTAAAACTGCCTGAAATAATCAGAGCTCAAAAAAAATCATTCGTCACATACATTATAAAATAAATGGTATGTGCACTTGAAAATTAAATATTGGATATGTGTTTTTGTTGTGATCTCCTATTGATCCAAGGCAGCCTGCAGAATTAATATGCATTGATGATCATGACTTTAAATTTATTTTTAAATATATTTGGGGGGAAGAAGAAAGGCAAAAATTGAGTGAGGAAAAAGAGAACTGAATCCCTGTGTGGATAGCTCATCTGTCTTTTCTTGAAGGTTTTTTCAACAGGTTTACAGACATGAATAATTGTTTCAGATCCTGCTTCCTTAAAGCCAAAGGAGAACACAAGTGTACTTTAGCATAACTCTTAAATGTAAAGTACTAAGAGCAATTTCTCTCCTGGGCACTACTCAGTTCAAGTTAGCTACTGCTGCTGATTAATCATACAATGGAAGCAAAATGGGCTTAAATTTTGAAGACCTGAGTTCAAGTCCTAGTTCCACCTCATGAGGTTTTATTAGGGAGCAAATGAGATAATGAAATATGAAATGATGTTTTAAACACTGAAACAATCATACTTACTTTCAGTGAAAACTCAGGTACTGTCCCAGGTACTGTCCCATTTGGTCCTCACCAGGAAACTGAGACAGGAAATATTACTGTCTTTTCTCAGAGGAGTAACCTGTGACCCAGAGCTTCCTTACAGATAGAAAGTAACAGAGCTAGAATCCTTGTCCAGGCAGCTTCACTCCCAAATA